ACGACATTCTAATTTATTGAGATGCACCTGTATATAAAAAAACTACTTGCAGATAATATAATATTAATGAAATTAAAGGTTAAGTGTATTTATAGAGAGTTCACTTTCATGGCTAAGTACACTTTTAAAAAGTTTTACATTACAGTACATTTGAAGTCATTATGTTTTAATAATCTTTTGTTGCGCTTTACAGAAGTGCACTTATTTTGATGTGTTTACTAACATACTAAAGCACGTGTACAGTACTTGTTTATAATATTAACTGTAGTGTGTTATTTGATTTCACATTTAAAGTTAAAATATTTTAAATGTACTAAACTGCAACTTCATAGTTACAATTATGTAATTATAAATGTTTAAATACATGACATACAAGTTTCAATAGAAGTGACATTAAAGTATATTTTAGTTTACCATAAATGCTTGTCAGTACATTCAGCAGCACAACCATATTTCAGAGACAATAGAAATGATTTTGAAATGACATATATAGTCCTATTTAAAGCCACTCTTATTGTAGTTATTATAGTTTAAATGCAAATATATTCTACAGAACATTTTAATTTGCTTGCAGTTAGCATGCATTTAAGTGTCTGAAAACATCAGTTCACTATGTACTGCATATTCTTTTAAAGTATGTTATATCCATAATAAGTACTCTTTTTAAAAGTATGCTGTGTTTACACATCGTGGTCTTTATAGCTGTACGTTTTGTTGCTGATATTATTTATGTATTTATTTTTTAGCTGGTCGCCACTGGGCAGTTCACAGTCTTCAAACAGCCATTAGGATTTATTAAAGTCTTACAATGGGTGAGTAACTACAGACCTTGCAAGTTTTTTTTTTTATCTTGCTATTTTTAATAAATAATGCCTTTTTCTATTTTCTGTCCTTCATATTATTTCCTTCTACAAAACTGTAGATTATCTTTAGATATTTGGGTTTGCAACTTTGTAAAACTGCAGTTTTACCGAAAGCACTGGTATTTTCTTTCAAGAAGTGCAAATCTAGTTTCTCTCAATTATAGCTGGCAGTAAAAACAACACGTACACATGGTATTGTGCACAGCTTGTGTGGGAGGCTGTGAACAGTCACCGCTGCTTATGTAACCGGCACTCGGAGAGGAAGCTGACGCTAGTTTACAGTCACGAGGTCTAGGATATCAAGGTTATGAATCTTCTACGGTTGTAAGATTTCAAGTTCTCCAGTATTTTTAGAAAACACGTGAGCTTACAAAAGTGTGTGTTTATGTATGTTTGAAGTTGTGAAGTACTTTTGCCTTTAGGTGCAAGTATAAGTTCCTAACTGAACCAGCTGGATAAAATAATTGTGTATCAAAAAGAATTAAAAGACAATCTGTGGGGATTTGAAAACTGCTAACGCTATCTCTGGGATTTCACGTTTTATTCCAATACAAACGAAGTTGAGTTCACACAATATCCAGTAGGTTTCTAGGAATCAAATAAGATCCTACTGGATCTGAAATTCCTATTGAATGCTTCGATTCTCGTTTTACTTTTTGGAAATTACCTATTTTTTTTCAACAGCCTTCAATATATACTACAAATAAAGTAGTAGCCCTTGTCTCTTTATTAATGCAAAATGTTTGTGTGATATACTTTATCTTGTTTTTTGTCAGTCATGTTGCCTTCTAGTGAATATAATCACTCAGTGCAAGTAATAACCCATTTCATTTCCTGAGACACTCAGACAGCCCAGGATAATGAAGTGTTGTGTTCATTTCATCTGGTGCTTGTGCCATATTATGCCAGTGACTAATTGTGTACAGAGATTCACAAGTTGCACAGAAGTTAGGCAATCACTGTAAATAATTACTGATATATAATTAAATTACTATAATTAAAAATGGACTTATTTACTTACCAGCCAGCATGTGACCAACCTTCAACCTTGAAATGTGGTTGAACTAGTAGACCGTTTTTGTTTGATTGTCGGAAAAAACATTGAAACAATGTTTAATGCTAAATGGCTGTAAAAAGGTTAAAAAATGTTAATAAATCAATGCTGAAATGTTAATTCCCCCATGTTGAAAAGCAATCAAAAAGTTAAATTCAGTAGTGAAACAATTCTGATCCATGTCATTGTTTCATTTTGTGTATTTGTGTATTTCAAATGGATAGTTTACCCAAATTGTATCATCATTTACTCACCCTCATGCTGTCCCAATCCTGTATGAATTTCTTGATTCTGTGGAACACAAAAGATTTACAAAATATTCACTTGTTCACAAAATATTAAAAGAATGTCACAGTATTTTTTTTGTTCATACAATGAAACTGCATTTAATCAGAGTGCACTCCAATAGCTTAGTTGGATATACACTTCCTATGCATATCCTTTGTTACTGTTACTTGAATGAGAAAAAATGTAGGGTGGGATTTAATTTGGTCCATCGGAAATTGATTGGATCGTTGGATCGTTGTCCTTTGCTATAGAGCACAACAGTCGGGCTCCGGAACTTATAAACCTTTACAGACAGACCTACTGTGAGGTTGTTAATCGATGGTATTTGCTTCTGTAGCTGTCAGCCCACATTGTTTCAGCTTATTTTTAAAATTATCATGTTTAATACTGAAATTCATAGTGAAAATCTACATTACCCATGATGCTGTGCAGAAAATTCCACCAATCAGAAAGTTGCAGCAAAGCGCACCAAAAGTTCTCTTTAGCTCTGCCTACTGCCATGAAGCACTGCAAATGAGTCAGCCTAAGATATTTTTGATGGATTCTGAGAGCTCTCTAACCCTCCCATAGACAGCAATGTAATTACCACGATCAAGGTTATTGCAGATCAATTGCTATTCTGTGTCAGCTGCGTCACGTTTTCTACGTTGTTTACGCTTTGATTTGAACGAAAACAACGTATCCGCATGGTGCAGCTGACACAGAATAGCATACGCTATTTACGTTCAGTGGATACTCTCCAAAATGGCACCAGGGTGACGCGGAGGAGACGAGCTTCGTAAAAATTATGGTTGAACCCCTGATGTCACATGGACTATTTTACCGATCTCCTTGCTACGTTTCTGGACCTTGATCGTGGTAGTTACCTTGCTGTCTATGGGAGGGTCAGAGAGCTCTCAGAATTCATCAGAAATATCTTAATTTGTGTTCCGAAGATGAACGGAGGTCTTACGGGTTTAGAACGACATGAGGGTGAGTAATTAATGACAGAATTTTCATGTGAACTAACCCTTTAAATATTTGTGTATGTGTATATACAGGGCCTAAAACTAACTTTTTGCCACACCTGCCAATGGCCGGTGACGTGATAGAATTTACCGGCCAAAATTTTTTTACCAGCCATGAAACTCTTTTTGCAAAATCAGGCAGTCATGACTACTACTATGACTTGACATATTTATAATGTTTTTAGTTTGTCCTTTACTTTACTTACAAGAAAAAAACCAACAAACAGATTTATTGATTTATATATATATATTTTTTGTCCCTAAAAAACGTTGAGATTCTTGTTCAACAAACGTAGCAGGCCATCGTGTTACACCTGTTTCACACATACTCATTTTGCAGTGCATATTTTTTTCCGCATCCATGTTAACAGATTAGAGCAGGGCTATATAATTAGCTTCATTTGATGGCTGAATTATCAAACTGAAAATTTGAAGGGGGCCAAGGGTGTGGGGGCGGTTCCGATCTCTCTGAGGGGACCTATACAATTAGAAATTAAATTGAAATCGGAAACATTAATGCTGTCTATCAATCAATTAAAAAAATGATTAATCACACATTTTTCTGTAATTATTCAAGATTAATTGCATATTTATAGTCACAATTTCACATTGAGCATCCAAATTAATGTAGATTGACATATTTATAATGTTTTTAGTTTGTCCTTTACTTTACTTACAAGAAAAAAACCAACAAACAGATTTATTGATTTATATATATATATTTTTTGTCCCTAAAAAACGTTGAGATTCTTGTTCAACAAACGTAGCAGGCCATCGTGTTACACCTGTTTCACACATACTCATTTTGCAGTGCATATTTTTTTCCGCATCCATGTTAACAGATTAGAGCAGGGCTATATAATTAGCTTCATTTGATGGCCGAACTATCAAACTGAAAATTTGAAGGGGGCCAAGGGTGTGGGGGCGGTTCCGATCTCTCTGAGGGGACCTATAAAATTAGAAATTAAATTGAAATCGGAAACATTAATGCTGTCTATCAATCAATTAAAAAAATGATTAATCACACATTTTTCTGTAATTATTCAAGATTAATTGCATATTTATAGTCACAATTTCACATTGAGCATCCAAATTAATGTAGAAACAACATAAAGATAGTATATTTTAAATATATTTAAATGGCATCTTTTTACTAAGTAGTATATTATTAATGAAGTATTGATGCCAATACTGCTACTGGTGTCTCTATTAAATACATTTCCCCTCAATTTTACCTATTAATTATAGCCATTCAACATTACAGTATAGTTGAAAGCCATTCTTTTTCAAATTTTAATAGGCTCTGAAATATTAAGTGATTTTAAAACAATCTTCGCATAAACTATAAGTTGTATATGCATAAATTATACAGATTAATCTTTATTCAAGCTACAAAAGTTAATCAGCGACTAGAGCAGTCCAGTGATTTGTCTTTTTCTTTTGTTCTTTGACTTACATCAATGACAGACTTCAGCAGGTTTTACTTTAAAAGCAGCGCGGCCTCTTTAAAACCTGATGCACATGACGCGGATCTGAAACATATCTTCTCCAAACTCTTTACGGTCATTTAAGACTTTATAACTCATTTAAGACTGTTTATGAGGTTACTCGCCAAAACGCGTATTTTGACATAATTGTGTGTTTTCGTCCGTTGAAGCACTACTGGTGCGCTGTCTAAAGCGGCTTAGCGTCTGTGTACAGCCGAACGAGCAACCTTTTAAACTATAGCCTACTTCACTGCAACCTTTTCTGCGGCGTAACCCCAGGTATGTGTCGCCACATTCTCGGGTTATGAAGAATAAAGAAGGGAAAAGTTAATCTTCCGAAATGAAGCAGCAATATCTTCTCAAGTAAAAGTTATTAGAACCGTGTCTAGGGACAAGCTGGCCATCACACTTCTCTGACCTTATCAGCCCGTTTGTATCCTATTATTTGATTTGCTCTTGTCGCTTATGACAGAACAGCTAATCACAATGATCTTGTCTTCGGGCAAGATTATTTGATTCGCTTATGTCAGAAACTGCAAATCTCTTTAAAAACTGTCTGTTTTTCCCACTACATTGCATTGTTATAATTCTTAAAAGTTTTAACTGGCGACTGACACTGTTACATGGACTCGCCAACGCTGATTTTTACTCGCATTTGGCGCTTGGCGAGTGTTAATTTTAGGCCCTGTGTGTGTGTGTGTGTATATGTATATATGTGTATGTATATATATATATATATATATCGTCTAGGTTATGTATGTAACCCTCGTTCCCTGAAGGAGGGAACGGAGACGTTACGTCAGAACAGACTGACGAATGGGATTTCGCCCGAGAGCCCAATCACCTTCGAATGGTAACAGAATGAGCCAATGGTACGCTGAGTACCTTGGTCTGCGGAATTTGCATCGCGAGCTCTGCCCCGCTGTGTGGGTATATAAGGAGCAGCGCGAGCAACTCGCATTCAAGTCTTCGCTGAGGAGCCGAGCCATGTGACCCAGCCGTTCAGCAGAACAGCAATTGTGGGAACTTCAGGGAACGAGGGTTACAAACGTAACTTAGACATTCCCTTTCAGTCGGTCACATTCAACGTTACATCAGAACAGACTGACGAAT